GTCAAGTTGATATAAAACTCTTCAGCACATTTACCTATATTAGGAAGTTCCATCTCTACCACCTCAGCAGTCACATGTACAAAGACTGAAGAAGAGCCAGGAGCTCCTTCTTAACCATCAGCAAGGCCAGATAGGACACAGGTATCCTGATGATAATAGATGCTCAGTCCTTGGTTCAGTGTAGAGCTGTGTGTGACTAGCGCTGCAGAAACAGGTGCTACAAAGACATTATTCTGTGTTCCCTCCATCACTTCTGGTGGTCCACTGTGCAGCAGAGAATGCCATGGGCCTGATTAGGGTCATCCAAAGAGAAGCTGAATGTTCATGTCCAAAAGCCATCTCCTCACAGTTGGTAGAAACTCTGGAGAGCCACAGATGGACCTGGGAGATCTGCTCACATGTACATCACCCTGAGTGCTCGCTGGCACCTTTACAATAAATCTCCGCCTGGAGGATACAACCAAAGGTGGCTTATCAAGCTATGCAGAGACAGGGCCTCGGCTATGCAAAGCACCCGCAGCAAGGATGATGGCATAATGTAAAGATGCTCTACCAATAACTTATAATGTTGTGAAATATGTCAGCAGTCCATGATAGAGTTTCAAAAAATTACTCCCAGCTTTGCTTCCAGGGAAACGGCGTAAAGACTAATGCCCCTGTATCTCCCTCAGGTCAAGAACGCTGGGATTCTGGACACTGTTTCAGGCTTACTGCTAAGCATTCATCTGGAATCATCTATAAACTGTGGATAATTTCTACTAAATGGAGCATCCAACAAACGAAGGAGTTTCTTGCTCACTGATTCTGTTCTGCATGAAGAAACAAGGCAGAACAATCCTAATACCTCAATTGCTTTACTGGAATTTTAAGGCAGTTGTGATATAAAAAAAACATAACACTGGAAAATGTTATATAAGTGTTATATAAAAATGAAATTAAATAAAGTGAAGTTTCATTTTTGTGTGTGCAAGCACAAAACGGCAGAATATATATATCTAAGTATCAAAACTAGCCCTTTGAAAATATCAATCACAATTCTTTAAGCTATTTCATTGTGAACAAGTATCCCACAATGGAATGACATAAAAAGCTGATTTAAAAGTAGGGGCAATACAATTCTTTTTACCAAAAGATGTACACATATAAATTATAATAAAATCTAAAATAACAAGGCCAGCCAAATCCAGCAATGTGTTATTTTTTAAAAAATAAATAAGAGGCTTGGGTGAGACAAGGGAGTTCAGTGCCTAGCATATCTGGCTCCATCAGTCCCTGTTTCTTTGCCTTCAGAGCAAGAGCATAGGGAACATTACTTGTTTCACGTTAATAAACCGATTACAATATACCACACTCTATAGTAGGCATAATACAATACTATCACAAAATAAAGAAAAAGAAAGGGCGCTGGTAACACTCAACATGGTTACAATGAAGAAAAGGAAAGGGTGCTGGTAACACTCAATACGATTACAATGAAGGAAAAGGAAGGGCGCTGGTAACACTCAATATGGCTACAATGAAGAAAAGGAAGGGCGCTGGTAACAATACGATTACAATGAAGAAAAAGGAAGGGCGCTGGTAACACTCAATATGGTTACAATGAAGAAAAAGAAAGGGCCTGGTAACACTCAATACTATTACAATGAACATATTTGGCAAAACAAGCACATAAGAGCATTTCCAAAATCTGATTCAATCATAAAGCTTTAAAATCATTCCCTTCAAACTGAGAAGGTAGCAAACTTCTGTCATGACGTCTATACAACTCCATGTGAGGACAAACCCATACAGTAAGGACAGAAGCACTAGTCGGAGATGATAGAGCACACTGCAATCCCAGTACTTACCTTCACCTAAAAGCAACCTATATGCAGAGACCCTGTCTCAAAAACAGGAACAACAGCAAAAACAAACAAAAGAACAAAAAGAATTAGCTCAAATACAGTGGTAAATGCCTGCAGTCCTAGCATTTGAGAGTCAGAAGCAAGTCAGAGGGCAGTCTGGGCTAAACAATAAGTTCCAGACCAGCCGTGGCTATACATGGATAACGTGTAACAAACAAAAAAGAACTGCAAAACTGCCCCTGCTTTTACATGATAAAAATGCCTACATGGGGCCAGGAGGTGGTGGCGCACGCCTTTAAGCCAGCACTTGGGAAGCAGAGGCAAGCATTATCTCTATGAGTTCTAGGCCAGCCTGGTCTACAGAGAGAGATCCAGGACAGTCAAGACTACACAGAAAAAAACCCTCTCTCAAGGGAAAAAACAAAAGCTGTCTACGTGAGAGCTGGAGAGATGGTTCAGCAGTTAACTACACACTGCTCTTACAGAGGCCCAGGACCCACATCAATGGCTCACAACACCTGTACCTCCATTTCAAAGAGACAGGACACCTCTAGCCTCCTTTGGCACTTGCACTAACGTGCACATAACCCTCACCCCCAACAAAGACACAGATACATAATCAAAAGTTTAAAAAGGGTCAGTAAGATGGTTCAGTGGATAAAGGCACTTACCACCAGGTCTGACCTGAGTTCAATCCCTGGAACCCACATGGAGAAAGGAGGAACTTCAGCTAGTAATCCTCAGACCTACACACACACACACACACACACACACTAAATAAACAAACAATCTAAAAAATTGTCTACATAGAAAACACAAAGTCTAGAAACAAACTGCCACAATAAGAAGTTATTAAAAGCTGCTGGATTCACAATCAATAAAAAAAAAAACGCAATCACTTTTCCATATACCAACAAAAAACAGGAAAAGCAATTTAAAGACAATTCATGCCCCCCCAAAAGAGTAAGATAAAAGAGGAAGTCCAACAGAAAATTTACAAGATCTTTAGAATCTAAGATATCATAGGTAGAAAACCATGTTCACTGGTATAAAAACTATCTGAGTTAATTCTCATCATTAAGTTAAATGGGTATAGAACCCTACCTATACGTGTGACTGTCTCTAGAGGCATCTAACCGAGAAAGAAAGACCCACCTTGAATGTGGGGAATGTGGGTGGAGAAGCTGCACAGACTAGGGTCCCAGGCTGAATGAGGAAAGAAGGTGAGCTGAGCACCAGCACGTTATCTCTGCCTCCTGACAGGAAGATGCAATGACACCAGCTACCTCACTTTCCCCAACATGATCAGGCACAAAACAACCCCTTCCCGGATTGAGCTGCTTCTCTCAGAACCTCAGTCACAGCACTGTGCACGAGCAACACAGACTATTCCTCAGTCAGCGATCTGCAGGAAGATCCGAGACTGTCTCTAATTTAGCACAACAACTAGACAAGAACCATGATAATTCAAAGGTTTCACACCGAGGGTTCTGAATTTGCATCTGTTCATAAGCAATACATACAAAAATGTTTTATCCATTCCCTTTTCCTTTACAGACCATGAAACTTGGATTCTTCATTTCACCATCCTATTTCTGTCACAGGGAGCTCAAAGGGACCAGCTCAAAGGGAACAAAAGAATGGTGTTGCAATGTTGGGTTGAATGAGGAACCAGGGTTCCCTATTCACAGGTCACTGATGAGAAAAAATTTTCTTTATAGGAAAGATATGCCCACAGAGATGGCCATGTTGCCCAAGACCTACAGTCATATAAAGAGGTCTATGAATACCCACTGCTGTGAAAAAGCAACAGGCAACCCAGAGGAGTCAAGTGAGCAAAGCACACTCCAGGCTAGAGGGATGCAGTGCAGCAAGAGACCCTCCCAACAATCGCCAGCAGGCATCGTACCATCCAGTGTATGCTGTACAAGATGGGATCAGAAAGAGTTCAATCAAGAGCTCCATGCAGGCATCACACTGAAGACAGTCTTGAGAGATGGAGTTTTACAGGGACTAGAAGGGTAAAGAGAAAGACATTCTCAGTGCAGAAAAGCCCCTAAAAGCAGGGCTGGGACAGCAGGCATCCAACTGTAAAGTAAGGGATGTCTACAACAGTGCAAGGAAGCCTGAGGACAGGGTGGGCCAGGGTAGGAAGACCTGGAACAGCGGGAAAGGGTGGCATGGAGTAAGACGGGCTGGCGGGTCAGGTGGAAGGTCTGGAAACTGTTGAGTGGTAGCATCCAGCAAGAATGAGCAGTCTTCCAGGAGGCTGTGGGACAAAGGAGTTACAGGCAAAGGGCAGCCAGATCCAGAACTGAAGGAGCAATGGATGTAGAGTTGTTAGAAGCACCCAGATGAAACAGCAAGAAAACAGAGTGATGTGGGATTCCCCTCTCTATGTTGTGAAGATTTTTTTTACCATTAGTTAATAAAGAAATTGCTTTGGCCTATGGCAGGGCAGAATAGAGCTAGGTAGGAAAACTAAACTGAATGCTGGGAGAAAGAAGGCAGAGTCAGGAAGACACCATGTAGCTGCCCAAGAAGCAAGATATGAGATAACAAACCATGAGCCTCGTGGTAAAATATATAATAATAGAAATTGGTTAATTTAAGATATAAGAGCTTGTTAATAAGAAGCCTAAGAGCTAATAGGCCAAAGAGTATATAATTAATATTAAGCCTCAGAGTGGTTTTTGGGGAAAGGATTTCTCTGTAGCTTTGAAGCCTGTCCTGGAACTAGTTCTTGTAGATCAGGCTGGCCTCCAACTCACAGAGATCCGCCTGTCTCTGCCTCCCGAGCACTGGAATTAAAGGCATGCACCACCACCACCCGGCTCAGAGTAGTTATTTTATAAGTGGTTTTGGGAACAGGCGGGCAGAGAAAAGCCAGTCCAGGGGAATAGGGGGACAGAAAATACTTTTAGTTACAGACACACTCTGAAATCCAGCCCTGGAACTAGGCATAGGAGTAGCCTTCTGAATCAAGGAGGACACAAGACATGCTGTGGTGTCACCTTTTACTTTGCACCCAGTCAACTATAGTTAGGATTCAGAACATGCCATGAAGATGCCACTTCAGAAAAATGGGAGACACATTCACTAACACAAGGATAACACCATCACAGTATCGGAAAGGAAAAGTAAACAGCAAATTACCAGGTAGAAACGGTGATTTCTTCTTCATAATCTTCTTCTCTTTCTTATCCATCTTCTCAGGACTTTCTTGTCCCTTTTCCTGCTCTGCATCCATGGAATCGGCTTGCTCAGCAGAGACGCTAGAGGCATGTGGACTCTGAGGAGACACTGTGGACGTCTGAGCATGGCTGCAGTCGCTGGGAGGTGCTGCAACTGGAAGTGAAGACAGCCCACTGTTTTCTAAGGCTTGCTGAGACAGAACAAAACTATAAGGTTAGAAAAGCCGACAGCCCAAATGTGCCTACCAAAAGCTATCCCAAGATACCATAGTCTTACCCACAGAACTCTAACTCCTCACTAAGAAAAAAGCTCTAAAATCCCAAGAAATGGTTTACTATTGGAGACTGCAACACCCCTTCTAATAGTCTACATCTTACCCCACCCAAAACATAATATAAGTAGTTATATTTCTTAAATTTATGGGCTCAAAAGTCATTAATTAACATTCAGAAGTCTTAGCTCAGAACATACTTGGGTCACAAGTTATCTCAGGTCTACCTGTAAGGCACAACCAGAGTTCCTGACACCGTGACCAACTTATCCTACGGCGCCTGCCTCTCTGGAGGTGAAGTATCTGTGAATGCCGCACTTTGCCCAGAGCTGGGAGAACTAAGAAAGTACAATCAACTTCCTTCCTCCTCATTTCCCAGAGGTGCTGGGGCCATTCATTCACACACTAACTACACAAAGCCAACATTGTGTCTCTACACGATACATGCCTAGGACCTTCTATACAGTACACCTGCATCTTAGGAAGAATGAAACACTTCTTCACCTCTCTCAACAGGGATGAACACAGGACAAGCTTTAAAGAACCTACCCATGTCCAGTTAGTTCATTTACAGAATTAAAAAAAAGTTTCCATTTTTCTTAAATGTACAGATTACCGAACTGTTTAGAACTCAGCACTTCCTGTTGGTGATGACACAGACATATTTTGTTTTACTGCCATCATTTTCAATGTAGCCACATTTTTAAACCAGCCTCCTTGTATCTCCACTGTTCAGTAATAAACCCTGATCTCTGAGAACCCAAATGTAAACGCCTTGCCCAGCAGATAAGCATGCTTCACCTGGAGGATGTCCTGGTTGATGCCCACTGTCACACTCAGTTGTCGCCCAGACTGTGGGGACTGCTGTGCCTCCACTGGCCCCGGCTCAGACAGTTCCAGAAGCTGCTGAATGACATCAGTCACTGCCTGAGAATTCTGCTGACTAGAGACTGATGAGACCTGGGCTTCCACCTGCTGCAGAGGCAAAGTCTGAAAGATCGTGGCCTGGAACACAGCAACATTTTCATTAAAAATGCAACTTCCAAGTTAAACACAAACTATATTAAGGGAACACCCTCTCTAATGGCATCAAAAGCTACTGCTTCCCAAAAACTGAGATGCAATTCCTCAGTGATCTCTGTGAAGTGCAATGTTGGCTCTTAAAAGAATGCACTCAATAAACCCTTCTACAACCGTCTAAGAGTTCTCATGGAGGTGGGAGATGATATCAATGCTCATCTTCCCATTATCCACCAAAAAAGAGTGAATGTTTTAAAAAAGCACAATGTTAAGGAAAGACAGTGGCAAAGAAGGGGAAGGAAGTCGATGTGGTCAAAACGTTTAACGCACTTTTGAGATACTATAGCTAAGAACATACTGGAAAATATAGCCTAATTCCTGTCAGAACTCAACAGAAATGCCAAGTCCAAAGGCAGCTGGGGGCTGGGGGTAGTGCAAGTTCTCAGCCTAGTCCTGCAGAGGTGGACATACTTACCTACACCTACAGAATGCACATGACCAAAGGTAGCTACACAGGAGTAATATATCCAAAGTACTCAATCAATTACAGCAAGTGTACCACAGCAACACACAGTGCTCACTAGCAACAAGAGCAACTGGTAGTAAGAAGATTACTGGGAGGTCATTGTACTTACTTTTTAGTTACAAATACTTAGTATTTGTAAAGTGCTATAAAAATTGTAAAAAAAAAAAAAAAAAAAAAAAAAAAACCATTGCCATCCTCCATAGAACCACAAAGAACTTACCTTCAGGCAATGGATGACAGACAGACAGATAGTAGATAGACAGACAGACAGACAGATGGATAGTTTGTAAAAAAGAAGGGGGGGAGCTGACTCTACCAAACTAAAAATAACAAACTATCAAATGAGATTCAGGACGCTTTTAATGGCCTTTTAGTCCCTCAAACTAAAGTCTTCTGTGCTCTGACACCGCATTGGAGAGCTGGTTCCCAAGGAAGAGGGGATGGAAAGAATATGAGCCAGAGGATGGGGAAACGTATAGCCCAAAAGATGACACTGACATAGCCGTCCCACTCATAAACTCACTGGCGCTGTGGTTATCTGCACAAGATGGTCACACGATTGGATTCCTCATCTCATTCTGAGGTTCCTCTCTGGGGATACTAGCAATTCACAGAGGGATTGTTGTCTTATTAGTGGGATAGCCATTGATAACTGCACTTGCTCCAGTAAATTAGCTCATACCCATACTCAGGCAAGAGCCTCAAATCAACCTCACTGGTCACCCACAGAAAGGCAACTTGTTGAGAAGAGGAGTTCTAGTAGAGGGAGCGAAAATGACTAGTCAAACAAAAAAATTAAAACCTAAGGAAAAACAAGCAGGTTCCTTGGTGTGGTGGCCACTGATTATTGCATCTGGTACTGAAACCCAAAAAGGGTTTTTTTCACAATTAAATATTTCGAGTTGGGAAAATCCATCTTAAACATGGGCCACCCCTTCTGTGGACAGTCTATATAAGGACATGGAAGAAGGAAGCTGGCTCTCTTTGCCTGCTGTCTTCACACTCTCTTTGCAAGTAAAGTCCTTCACTGGCATTAGAGTTTATTCTTTGAGATTCTGGGGTATACTGAAGACTAGCTGAGACATCGGCCTTGTGGGCTGAACAGCTACTGCATTCTTGGACCTTCTGTTGGTAGACAGTCACTGTTCGGCTCGCTGGACCATAGCCTGTAAGCGATTCTAATAAATTCCCCTGGAGGTGGCATATAATTAGATAGATAGATAGACAGACAGACAGACAGACAGACACACGCAAACACACGCATACACACACACATAGATACATGGATGGAAGGATGGATGGAATTCATTCTGTAAGTTCTGTTCCTCTAAAGAACTCTGATGCGTACACTTGGTCACATGCATTACAAAGAAAGCCTTCTCCAGCTGTGCATGGAAAGGTGCGGTAACTCTGTCTTCTGAGACACAAACAAGCAGCCAGAGACGGCGAGAATTGTGAAGGATAGAAGGGGAACAACAGAAGCAGATCAGATGCAGCAGGAGTGGCTTTCTGAAGCGAGTGCCTCACTTCAGTAGAAACAATCCTGTTATAGATGCAGTGCTCTGTCTCTCTCTCTCTCTCTCTCTCTCTCTCTCTCTCTCTCTCTCTCTCTCTCTCTCACACACATACCACACACAAATTATTATCCAGATTGTTGTGTATAATCACCTTTAGAATTACATACTGAAAAAGGAAATGGTGAAACTATTATTTGGTTACTGACATACTAAAATATTCATTTTTTAAAAATCGTAAATCAAAAAATAGAATTTTTATGATTTCATAATTACTCAATTATTCCTGTTTATAAAGCTTTATAGCACTCTAAAAATAAACTGTGGAAATCATCCATAACTACTAAGAAAGAAAAAATTAGAGCAAAGGGACACTATGTGTAACCCAGTTACTAGCCAGCATTGAATAAAGGAAGCAAAGACACTACCACCATGTACCCACGCATGAGCATTCATGAAAATTCTTCTGTACTGTGTAGTTAACTTTAATAATACCACATCCTAGGCTTAGATTTTGGAATTTATTATCAACTGATAAAGTATGGTAGAAGTTATGATTAAAGCTGTTATAAAATCCTAGGAAAAAACACACAAAAACGTGTGTGTGTCCATGTGTACATTTGTGTGGGATTGTGTTTTTGTGGGTAATATGTTTGAGGATGACTTAGAGTCATTCCATTTCTAAATACATGTACTAGGAAGCAGAATTTGGTATCCCAAAAGACCTAGGAGAAACTATTACTTCCACATGAGAAAATGAGAAACATTACCTACAAAGTGGATTAACTCTTAAAGATAAACAATATTTAATAGTCATCATCAACATTGACTGCAATAAGTGAATTCTATAAATTTCTGATAATTTTTTCTGCTTTAAAGGTTTAAATGATAAGCCATAAATCAAGATTATGTATCATCACCCTGAACTTTAGACAGATAAATTTTATTAAAAAAAAAAAAGTAGCACCTTATGTACAAAACTTTAACCATACTTTTTGGTAATTCAAAAATTCATATTTAAAATGAGACTTGAGGCTTTTGTTGTTTAAATTTAAATGAAATTATTAAGCTTACCGTTATAACATGTGCAGTCTCTGTAGAACCTGTGGAGTTGGAGGGTCCACCCATATGCATCTTGCTGATGTGAGTATTTAAGCTACCTAAACTTTTAAAGACGCAGCTACATTCTGTACAGTTATAAGTGGGCCCGTTTTTTACCTTAAAAAAAAGAAAAAGAAAAAGTAGGTTTTTTTTTTAAATCTTTAGTCAATAGATGAACATATTTAAGTGATAGCAAAGAAAATTTAGCCCTCCATCAGCATGAGATAATACACAGCTCTAGCAATGGGTACTCTGCTTGTTTTAAATTAGCTTAAGAATCATTGATACAATTACTTAATCAATATTACTAGTTTAATATCAATTGAAATTTCAGTGTTTCTCTAAATGAAAAAGCGGCTAGGAATGAGGAAACAAACTTTTCTGTTATCATAGTTTAAACATCAAAATGTCATCATATGTCCCCAACTTCTTAGATTGCTAAACATGCTCCCCAGCGAAGGCTGGGTACAGCTGGGAGCTCTGTATAGTAAGCTTCTGGGGCCTAGCACAGGTATGGAAGGGTGGCTAAAATCGGTAAATTTCTCACCAAATTCAACATCCATCCATGATTACTTTTTATAACTACGACTAAGCCAGAAACAGACTACAATTAATTAAAATGAGTAAGAACATCTATGATCAGAGACTGTATCCCAAATATTCTCTATTATTCCAACCTAACCTTAGTTGCCATCATGATTATGAGGAAGGCTTGAAAATACACAAGTCACCTTTAACCTATTTGCAGTACCTCCTAAGAACCAAATTTAAACCAGCTATGATCACATACACCTTTAATCCCAGCACTCAGGAGGTAGAGGCAGGTGGATCTCTGTCAGTTTGACGTCAGCCTGAAATTGCACAGGAAGAACCGGTCTCAAAAAAGAAAAGAAGAAAAAAAAAAAAAAAAAGAACTGCATTTAAGGCTATGGACGTCTCACAGGATTGGATAATACTTTAATGTGCCTTTTTAGAGGCCCTTTCAAGTCTCCCATCACAAGACAAGTCCCACGATGCCCCCATTGTCACACTGCAGGGGTTCTCCTAACATGGAGTCTTAGCAAGTGTCTCAGAGGACCACCCTAGGGTCCCAGAAAGGTATTTCTGAAATATGTGCTACATAAGCACACAACTATTCTTCAGTGATCAACTCTCCTCAAAGGCAACTCACAAGAATGACTTGACCATCCCAGCACTCGGAAGGCAGAGGCAGGTGAATCTCTGTGAGTTTGAGACCAGCCTGGTCTACAAGAGCTAGTTCCAGGACAGGCTCCAAAACCACAGAGAAACCCTGTCTCGGAAAAAAAAAAAAAAAAAGAATGACTTAACCAAATTACAGTGTCAGTACCTTATCACTATTTCATGACTTAAGAGAAAAATAATTCAGTGAAAATAGAATTCTGAATCTTAAGTATTTTTTTTAATTTTAACAAATCAGATCTAACCCCCCCCCACCGTGTGTGTGTGTGTGTGTGTGTGTGTGTGTGTGTGTGTGTGTGTGTGTGTGTTATCTGCATGTGATAGCTAAAGAGCAACCTAGGGTAGGAGTCATCTACTTTGTTTTGGAAAAGAAACTTCCCAATGGTCTAGAATTTGCAGATTCAGCTAGGCTGGCTGGCCAGCAAGCTGTCCCTAGCTCCACAGTACTGGGATTACACGTATCCATCATGCCTGGCTTTTTTGTTTGTTTTGGTTTTTGAGACAGGGTTTCTCCGTGTTGCTTTGGAGCCTGTGCTGGAACTAGCTCTTGTAGACCAGGCTGGCCTCCAACTCACAGAGATCTGCCTGCCTCTGCCTCCCAAGTGCTGGGATTAAAGGCGTGCGCCACCACCGCCCAGCTTTTTTTTTTCCCCCCATGTGGATTCTGGAAACTAAACTTAAGTCTTCATGCTTATAAAGCAAGCACATCCCCTAAGGCCTAGCTTTATTCTTACTAAGGGAGCTTCTGTTGGGTTTATTTTTGTTTTTTATTGTCATTACTGAGACAAACTTTTGCTAATTAGCCCACAATGTCCTCAAACGCACAACCTTCCTGCCTCAGCCTCCTGAGTGCTGAGATTATATGTCAGTCATTCAATTCCTACTACATTGTTTTAGCTCCCCAGTCACTAAAGTGGTACTTAGGGATTAATTCTATGAAAAACTTTAAAGATACGAATTTGCTCTTAACGATAGTTTTTGCTGTACAATAAACTGCTGTGTGTTGATCTACTCTTTTGGAGTTTTCGAGGACCTGCCACCCAGCTCCCAAATAAATCACACAAGAAGGCTTATTCTTAGTTATAAATGTCCAGCCTTAGCTTGGCTTGTTTCCTGCCAGTTTTCTTAAATTATTCCACCTACCTTTTGCCTCTGGGCTTTTCTCTTTCTCTATTTCTATATACCTTTCTTTACTTCTTACTCTGTGACTGGCTGGGTAGCCGGCCCCTGATATCCTCCTCTCCTTGTCCTCTCACTCCTCTTCTTCCTTGGTTCTCCTCCTATTTATACTCCTGCAAGCTCCGCCTATCCTTGCTCCTGCCTCGCTACTGGCCATTCATCTCTTTATTAGGACCACCAGGTATTTAAGAAAAGCACAGCAACACAGCTTTACAGAGTTAAACAAATACAGCATAAACAAGTCACACACCTTAAAATAATATTCCCCAACAATAAACTGATTCATGATGTAAACATTTGTGTTAAGTAAATATTCCTTTATATTCTATAACTAGGCCATAACTAAGACACTCTAAATAACAGACACACTGGTCCTAAAAACAAACTTAATGCAAATGCTTCCAGGGGCTCTACAGTTAAGCAGGACTGTAGACAACAGCCAATGGCGGTCATCTGAGCTGACTCATGTAGCACGGGAAGAACATACAGCTAGGTCCGCGTAAAGTGTGCCTCGGGGCCAAATGCCAGCCCCACTCTGTCTACAGCAAGGTCAGTGCTTTCTGTTTTACTTCTTGTCTTTCTCTTCTTATACTTGATAGTGGCTGTTGCTGAAATAGATGATCATGGTTGATAGATCACATTTATCAAATATATTACCATTTTTAAATACTCATTAAAAGTAAGAGGGCAAAATAAGATTTTGTATTTCTCCACATATAATAAACCCAAAAGTGCCTGGAACAGTGGTGCACACAATTCCAACACCCAGGAAGCTGAAGTGCTTGCTATGAATGTAAGGTCAGCCTGAGCTACATTCTGAGTACCACACCAGCCAAAGTCACATAGCAAGACCTGTCAAGAACAACAAAACAGTATGTTCCCAGCAAAGTATTTTTGCTAAAATAGGGTACTGTACACAGCTCAGTCTTCATTTTTCAAAACTGTAACATACTTTCTCAGGCTAGTCATTAACTCAAGAGACATCTAATACTCTGAGAGCCCAAACACCATGCTCACCTCTGAGTGGACCCTCTGCACATGGGACTGCAGGTTCCCCTTCTGAGAAAAGGCAGCAGGACAAAAGGCACAGGCATGTGGCTTTTCTCCTGTGTGCTTGATCATGTGGGTCTGCAGTGCCCCTTTCTGGTTAAAAGCTTTTCCACACTCGCTGCATTTGAATGGCCTTTCACCTACCAGAGAGAAAAAGAATCACTAGGTGAGCACATTTTAGGGTGAGAGAAAGACATAAGGTACACAAACTATCCTGTCAGCCAAACTGCTCCCAGGGACCTGAAATTCATATACACAGGTATCAGGCATCTCTTAAACTTCACCCTGTTCTAAACAAACCTTTCCATACCCCAAATGAACCCCACAGTAGTTCTTGCTTTCTCTCAACCTGCTTACTCCCAGGTCAGCCCTGTTCCCTGTCCAAACTACTGCCTACGGCAGGGCACAGCCCCATCCATCCTCGTCACCTCGGGCCAGCCCTGCTGCTCCCACCAGACCTTGTATGGGCTGCTCTCCACTCAACAGAAGGACCCTTTCTAAATGAGATCACAGAAAGTTGAGCTTGCTTGATGCCTCCCAAGCTTCTCACTCAGCTAGGTCGTCCCTTCCCACTACCTGCTCTCTACTGAACCTTCTCTTGCCTCAGCACAGAACACAGGTCCACTGAAGGCCTGTCACTATGCCTGTCCATCTCCCTGAGAACCCACACAGCTTGCTCCCTCGTGGTTCTTCTGTCGCTGCCACAGTATTACCTCCAAGAATGACTTTTAACCATTTCCAGTTGATTTCAAAATCTCTCATGTCTATCCTGTAATCCTTGCTCTCCTTCTCTGCTTAACTCCCTCCATATGATCTGTAGTCAGTAACTTCTGACAGTTCACTTATTATTCTACTTCTAATACATGCGCCAAGAAAGAAAGGTTTTCAACTGTTCTGTTCATGGCTCTCATTTCAGTACAGCACATGCATTATCATTCTATAGGTACTCATTCACTGATCAATGACGGAAAAGAGAAAATTATATAGTTAAAATCTAACTACAAACTAGATCAAAGTCTTGTCTCACTAAAATTCCATCCCCTGGGAAGTATGTGAGCAGATAGATCCCTACTTCTCTGAACCGACCTCAGGGTTAAGTGAGATGGAGAATGCAAGTGATCTTAGAGAAGAGGTATCACTGGGAGGGACAGATAGCAAGGATGCTCAATAAGAACCATGGGTCCTGGGAATGGCATCTTTTCTGTTCTAATGGTATTAACTGAAATGCATCTCTCCTTTCTTGGATGGGGTTCATACACTCAAGCAGTAGCCCCTCAGAAGACCACACATCACATCATCATATCACATGAGGCACACCCACTCAAAGACCAAGCAGAGAACACATGAGCCTTCTTCTACTTAACAGCATCTTTGATAGCCTACCTGTGGTCGAGCCTTGCAGGCTAGTAAGAAGATGCTGAGGACTAGGCAAACCACCTTCCCCAACATTCCATGCACTCAAGAGGCCAGCCAGAAAAACTATATGTGATCAAAAGCTCAATGTCAAGAAGAGCACATATGGCAAGTTCCCAAAATCACATGAAAGTGTATACAGCATTGTGTCCAGGGGATATGCTACTCTGATGCATGTATTTATGGACGTGCAGAAAAAAATGTCAAGGGGCAGACATCAAACTGTTACAGGTATGCTAAGAAAGCAGTGTAAGTACTGTTTTCTTTGCATTTTTCTACTTTAAGGGATGCAACAACCTTCAAGCTATCTTTTTATTAGAGGAAGATAAGCTAGAATTTAACACTCTAAAACTCAACATTTTATCACATTTTCTTTTTTTTTTCCCCATGGGCTATGTTCTTTTGTTTGTTTGTTTGTTTGTTTATTTATTAAAGATTTCTGTCTCTTCCCCACCGCCGCCTCCTATTTCCCCCCCCTCCCCCAATCAAGTCCCCCTTCCTCGTCAGCCCAAAGAACAATCAGGGTTCCCTGCCCTGTGGGAAGTCCAAGGACCACCCACCTCCATCCAGGTCTAGTAAGGTGAGCATCCAAACTGCCTAGGCTCCCACAAATTCAATATGTGCAGTAGGATCAAAGAACCATTGCCATTGTTCTTGAGTTCTCAGTAGTCCTCATTGTCCGCTATGTTCAGCGAGTCCGGTTTTATCCCAGGCTTTTTCAGACCCAGGCCAGCTGGCCTTGGTGAGTTCCCGATAGAACATCCCCATTGTCTCAGTGTGTGGGTGCACCCCTCGCAGTCCTAAGTTCCTTGCTCGTGCTCTCTCCTTCTGCTCCTGATTTGGACCTTCACATTTTCTTTTAGATACAGGGTTTCATGTATCCCAGGATGACCTCAAAGTCACTATATAGTTAACAATGACCTTAAACTTTTCTTTACCCTTTTTGAGACAAGATCTC